CTCTGGAACAACAAAACAAAAAACACTTTAAACAACCAATTCTGTGTTTGTACCTCACACGTGTCCATCGCGCTTATATTGTATGTGATAATGAAATGGGAGGACCACACTTTCTCAGCATAGGCCAGAGCAACGAAAATAACCACACTGCTTCCAAGCAATTCTACAGCGTGCAAATGTGCCTGTTGTTGTCTAACCCTCAGCTCGGCGTAACACGTCAACATCTTTTAACTTTATCCCACCACAAATGGATGGTATTTGTACATTCAGGCAAAGCCCTTGGGAATGACTAACGCGGCTCACATGTCGTCCACCAGTACCAGGGACAGTTTTCCGAATTCCACGTTTTGTTTCGAGTCGGTAGTTTCAGCCTTCAGTGACACAGCTGATGGTTCCCTCTGCCTCCTGATTGGTGGATTGATGATGAGCTATTTTTAGCAGCTTGTTGCTGGGCGGAGATTAACAAAGCTGACTGTGATTGGCTCAATTGAAATCATTTTAATATTCATGACTGGTTACTATAATTGATCCACTTTTAATGTCAGCCATTTTGTCCTTCTTGTCTCTCTCACATACAGACGCAGCATAAAGACACAGTTAAAAATTAAAAGCAGACACAAACAGTTTATTTTCATATTTATTAAACAGTTATGTTTTTATTCTTCAAAAGGAGGAATAATATCAAATAAACAATTTAAATAAGGAACAGCCTGTTGCAGAGACTCCTACCGACTGCATGGAAATTAATGACAATTTAATATATCTGAATAGAATTCTCACATTTTCCTTGATGGTCTGTATAAGTTACTACACTTTTAGAAATAAAGACTTAAAACTATGATTGATTTTGTGTGTGTAACATCACATTATTTGAGTTTTGGACACCTCACACAAAATTATATATATTCCATGATGCATAAACCAGGAACCAGCGTCTACATTAAGTTCTGGGGGACTTTGGTTGATTACTTAAAGCATTTAAAAATCTGCACCCGCAAACTATTAAGGGTTTTGTGGACCAACGAGATCTTTGCAGGTCTTTAGACAGGCAGACAACAATTGAACCTTTTAGTTCCTTGAAAACTAGTCACTGGGAATAAAAGCTCCGGGTTCTTTGGGAGGAAGCAGAAGTTAAACTCGTCATGAAGGAGAACTACTCAGTCTGTGAAAACAACTCTATAATGTCGTTGATTTAATCTATAAAAATCACCCTGCTTGAGTTGATTTTCATTGTCAGCATGTTCCTTTTTCTCAGTATTGTTTTGTAATGTAATGAGGCGTGGCTCCATGTTAACCTGAAACCCACCTACTGTAAACACTGTACAGTCACCTTGAACATCCTTTTAAACCTTGGTTCCTGTTATATATCTAATATATCCACATTCTCATTAACACAAAATTCCTGGAATGACTAGGTTCATTTTACTTTTGAGTGGTAGTTTCAGTCTCAGTGACACAGCTGATGTTCCTCTGCTCTGATTATAATGCTCTGTAAATAATGTTATAAGGAGTTCGGTCTAGACCTGATTTGAAAAGTGTCCTGAGATAACCTCTGTTATGAATTAGCGCTATACAAATAAAATTTAATTGAATTGAATTGGTGGATTGATGATGAGCTATTTTAGCAGCTTGTTGCTGAGCGGAGATTAACAAAGCTGACTGTGATTGGCTCAGTTGAAATCATTTTAATATTCATGGTTACTGTATTTGATTTACTTTGAATGTCACCCATTTTGTCTTTCTTGTCTCTCTCACATACACATGCAGCATAAAGACACACACAGTTAAACAATAAAAGCCCTATGCAGTATGTGTTTCTTCATGGAAAATGAAATTGAGGCTGTTCTTTCGAAATAAAAGCCTTCTTTTGCTCTGGCATCAGGTATTGATGTAAATTTGATTATTTATTTCATTATCAATCTCTGTTCTGTATTTTAGCATTTATTTTCATATTTAATATAGTGTATTTCATTCATATACATCTTTTTTTTTTGATTTCATTGTTTTCTATTGTAATTTTATAAAAGAAAATACAAGCAGAGCCCCATCTAACCATCTTCCACCATCAATCCATACATCATGAGTGTGAACAACAACATGCTCCATTTAACGTATGTAAACGTGCAGCTAAATCTTCTTCATGAATATTTTGATTCAGTACTTTGGTTTTTGTTCGTTTTATTGCTACAATCATGTAAAAAAGTTGAATTTTGAACACAGGATTTGCACTCACATGTTCTACTGTGACTTAATTTAAAGATCCTATACTGGAGGTTGTAGCCTGGCATCAGTTTAATGGAGTTAATTCAGATTCAGATGTAGGATTAGCTTAATTTTACTAAGAAAATTAAGTTCATCAAAGTTATTTATAGGTTGCTGAAAGTAACCTGTACTCGTTTTTTATTTAGGTTCAATATCACATGCAGATAAATTTCCTTTACCAAGATAATTAAGTTAATCTAACAAAGTAATATCAGT